TCCGATCCTCATTCTGTCCTGTTACCGGAACGTGGCACCCGATTCATATTCTATCCTGGTGTCGGACGTGACACCCGATCCATATACTATCTTGGTGTCGGAACGTGACACCCGATCCATATTCTATCCTGGTACCAGAACGTGGCACCCGATCCATATACTATCCTGGTGTCGGAATGTGACACTCCGATCCTCATATACTATCCTGGTACCGGAACGTGGCACCCTACCCCCTAATCTCACTACTTTCATTCATCAAGCCTTCTTTTATACCAAGGCATCATCATTAACAAAGTAGATTAGGGTTTCTTTTCAAGATTTGGGATTCAATAGCTTCATCATGCTTATTTATTCATAATTACATAATCACATCATACATGCAAGCATACAATTAAGCCTATAGAAGGGTTTACAATACTACTAACACATATCATTCACTATTAAGAGTTTACTACGAATAGCATGAAAACCATAACCTACCTCCACCGAAGAATTGCGATCAACAAGCTATCTTCTCAGAATCCTTGCTATCCTCTTCGTTTCTCTCCCTCTACTCGTTCTCTTTCTTTTTCTGTCTCTCTTTGTTCTTTCTTATTTTTCTTATTCAAACCCTCTTTCTTTTACCCTAATTAACATATAATTAAGAATAAAAGATGGCAATAATGCCCCACTAATTAACTTAAGGTTACCTCTTTTAACCCCCAAGTAATTAGACTTATTAACATTAACCCAATAACTTTATAATTAAGGCAAGAATAGTCAAAAACGTCCCTTAAAACGTATCAAGAAATCCGACCCAGACTGGGATTGTGCAGTCTGTGACGGGCCGTCGTGCCTACGACGGTCCGTCCTGCAAGTCGTCGCAAAGTTCAGAGACCTAAATTTCCACTCAGGGTCTGTCACCGTCCGTCACACCTGTGACGGTCCGTCCTGCCATTTTGTTACGAAGTTCAGAGAGTCGATTTTTAGTACCCAATTTTCAGTTTTTCCAAGTGTTTTGAAACGAGACCCTGCGATGGTCCGTCGTGCCCATGACGGTCCGTCGTTGGGTCCGTCGCCTCAGCCTGTTTTTCCAGAAATAAAATCTGCTGCTCAAAATGACTAAACAGGTCGTTACAGTATTTGGTCTATGTATAACTAATCCATTCATTAGTTATACATCCTACATGGTTTTATATGATGTATTACTAATACCTTCCATCTGGAGGTATTAGTAATATATAGGATATAATACCATGTGATAAGTCTATGTAAATACAATAATACCCCTCAAATCTTTTTAATTATTTTGTTTATTTTCTTGATTATATGTTTTATATTTGTACTAGTAATTTATTTAAATAAATTAGCTTACAAATTATTTAGAGAGAGTTGTTTGTTACCAAATAAATCTAATACAAATCAATACAAATTTGAGAGATATTTAACATTAACAAATTAAAAAGTTAAATATAAGGAAAATGCACAAGTACCCCCTCAACCTATGCCCCGAAATCCCAGAGACACACTTAAATTATACTAAGGTCCTATTACCCCACTGAACTTATTTTATAAGTAATTTTCAACCCCTTTTCACCCTATGTGAAACTAGTTTGAAAAAAAGTCAAACAACATTGGGCCCACATGGTAGTGCCACGTAGGCCGAAAAGGGATTAAAAATTATTAATAAAATAAGTTCAGGGGGGAGGGGGGTAATAGGACCTTAATATAGTATCAGTGTGTCTATGAGATTTTGGTCATAGGTTGAGGGGGTACTTGTCCATTATTCCTTAAACATATCACTACATGAATTTGTGATATTAATTGAATATATTTTTATGTATATATATAAATTTTTTAATTTGGTAATCATTGATTTTGCGAAAGCAGATTTTGCGATAACTCGAGTGGTCATACATTTCCACAAACTCTACATTAAGGTCAATTAAATTATTTCAATGAATGTTTATAATATATATCTACTACCAAAAAATAGTGAATACTAACCTAAAAAATACCGAATTCAAATTGAAGTCCGTAATTTCCGACCTTTGAAGGTTGATATTGTCAAGAGGAATAAATTTTTTAAAGAAAAAATAGTCAGTTTTAATGCAAAATAAAGCGAACAAAACAAATTCCGACCTCAAGAGGTCGAATTTTTCCCCAAGAAAATTAATTATAATAAAAACCGTCCTCTTGATGTTGGTATTAAATGAATAAATAAATAAAAATATTTTATTTTTCTCAATTCAATATAAAAAATAAAATTAAGAAATCTTTGGAATTAATTTGAGTTAAATTGTCTTTCGAAAGACGATTTTGTGTAAAATCAAAAACAAAAAATAACATTATAATATCGACTTTCGGAATTCGGTAAAATTAAACATTATTTAATAAAATTAACTTTCATTTAAATATTTATATAGTGACTTCAATAAAATTAATATTAATATTTCAGCTAACATTAAATAATTCATTCTCCGGATGACGGTTTCATATAAGTTTTAAAAATAAACTAATATAAAATACTGACCTCATGAGGTTGGTATTTTTATTTTATCTAGTTACTTTTAACAAAAGCGACATTCGGACATCGACTTGTTTAATATATTCCTATTAACTATAATTTTTGTAGCATAATACTAAAAATAAATTTTACACCTACAATTAATTATTCAAAAAAGTGTAACAATTTTGTATACTTTAATAAATAAAAAGTTAGATCAGTAATCTATATTTAGAGTATGAACCTACGTTGATATGAAAAAACGACTACACTTAGTCAGTTATTATGCAAAATAAAGAGGGAAATCCAAATTGACCACTGGAGGTTGAAATTTTGCCCCCAAAAAAATGAATTACAATAAAAATTGACCTCTTGGTGTCGGTGTTATAAATAAATAAAAATATATTTTTCTCAATTAAATATAAAAAACTAAAATTAAGAAATATTGTGAATTAATTTTATTTAAACCATATTCCGGGGGACAGTTTTATGTAAAATAAAAAAACAAATGAATTATAATACAGACTTTCAAAAGTCGATTAAATTAAATAGTATGTAATTATATTAACGTTCATTAAATATTTATATAGTGACTTCATAAAATTAATAAATTAATATTTTTGATTAACTTTAAATAATTCGTTCTCCGGCTGACGGTTTTACAAAAGTTAAAAAATAAATTAATATAATATATCGAACTAATGAGGTAGAAATTTTTATTTCATGTAATTACTTTTAATAAAAGCGACATCAGAGGTCAGTTTGTTCAAAATATTCCTATTAATCATAATTTTGCTATTGTGCATAATACCTAAATTTCATTTTATACATACAATTAATTGTTCAAAAACTGTAATAATTTTGTGAACTTTTATAATAAAAACTTATAATTCGTGGGATAAACAAAGAAATATTTCATATTTAGAGTATGAAACTATGCTTATATGAATTAGAAGATGGTTTTACTTTTATTACTAGAGTAATGTACAAATTCTACGAGTCCGTCGTCAATTCACTAACTTAATATCTCATGTAATGATTTAAAGATGAAGAGCTATCATATAATCCATTCGAATATGACATGCGAGATAATACTCGTAGAAATATTATGATAACAATTAATAATTTTTATATTTATAATTAATGGTTTAATCATTTGTAAGTATAACCTTCAATGTCTTATCTCGTTTTATGAAATAAACAATAGAACATCTTAAAATTACTATTCAAATCAAGTTCTATCAAGTTTATTACTTTTGATCACTACAACAAATTTGTCCTATGACTACAATAATTCTAGACAACACTTAAAAAGTGTTGCCTAAAGTATCTAAGGGCACCTTTCAATTCGTGACCTTTCTTTCGAGCTTTTAGTCACATAAACTTTTGCAACACTTCTAATGTGTGCTTTTTAAAATTATAGGTTACACATCATAAAAAAAATTGAAAACACTTATTTTTATATATAACCACACTCTAAAATGTGTTTTATTTATAAGTAAAAATTACACTTATAAGTGTGCTCTATAAATAAACATTAAAAATTAGCTTAAATAACTAGTTTCTTCCATATAGATTTTTTACCCAGTTATAAAAGTATTACTACAGATATAGTACAATTTTGGCTAAATTAATAAGTTCCCTCCATATTTTCTATTTCCTCCCAATTTCTAAAAAAACAAGAACCCTAAATTTTATTCTCAAACACTTAAAAAAAATTAACAAAATTTTTACTAGTAAGGGCAACTCAACCCCACTAATTTTATTAAATTACAGAGGATTAATCAAACACTGTAATTTTGATGCAATTACTGGGTCTCAGCCATCCCAAATAGTAAAATTTATAATATCATAGAGTTACTTTAAATTTATTGCGCATTCTTTTTTTCCAAACCAAAAAAAATTCTGATTGTTAATCTTCTGAACTTCATCCGTTATCCATGGTGACAAAGCAATAATTGTTAGAGCTTTGATGATTGATTGAAAAATATAACCATGGTGGTGGAGCTACCTACCACTGTCTTCTTCCACAATAGAGTTGTCAGAGAAGAAACGAAGAGATGAGGCAGTGATGACGATTTGTTATACGGTAAGTTTATTCATTTGTGTTCTATATTTGACTTTACTACCCAAGAGAAGCTTCTCGTAGTTTTCTAATGGCAGATCCATGTAGTAACTCTTTTCTCTTTCATTTTCGGTCTTCTCAACATCTTTATCCATAGTAAAATTGATAATGTTCCGCATTCTTATTCTCTTCTCAATTTCTCTTAATTTTACGATTTTGCCCTAAATTAGATGTAGAAAGCTTAGAAGATGAGCTACCAGAGTTGTGAGTTCTCTCTAACACGTCTTCATATCATTTTCAATTTGTAAATCAACTTGAGTGTTTTTTTCAACTTTGATTTGTTCTAGAATGTTTCGAGATTTGTATTATGATCATATTTTTTCCTGAGAAAAGGCTAGAATTAGTAAATCAATTGATTTTTTTCTAAATTTGTATTCTCCAGTATCATCGGAGTGTCTCGAAATTCGGATTTGACTTCATAAACTCTGCAGCCGATGGCATCTCACAACTGTGTGTATGAAGCTCTAGCATGAATATGTTGGACGGTTGATTTCACTTCCAATGATGACATCGGTCTACTATATTTATTTTTGCATTTAGGTTTGTTCTTCGTGTTCACTTTTACTTTTTTTAGGCAAAATATGAATAACTTCTAATTATGAGGCAAAATATGACTTAGTGGTCAATGAAACATTAGGTGATCTCTTCTTCTCGACACCAAGTACGTGACTTAGTACATTAAACTACTCGCCCTAATACTTATAGCCAAACTATCCATGTTCCATGACCAAAACCTATTATATTATTAGGCTGGCCCAACAAGTTTCATTATGAGTAATTTTGTATGCACCAGAGTTATAACAATCCGTTTCGATCTGTCTTTCTTGTAAGCATGTGTTGTGTATTAATGTAACATTTCGGAAAAATACATGTCCAGTGAAGATCCCAATAGGTCTTTAAGAATGTGTATTGGGGACACATAGGTATTCCAATTCCCAATATCGAGAAATATTGGGCATAACATAGATAATTGGTTAAGGGGTATTAGCCAATTTTTCTAAGTATTAATGAGCTTGTTTAAGAACTGTACCTGGAATAAAGACCCTACGATAAAAACATAGATTTTACAACATTTACTTAATAGGTTCTACGCATCCATATGTCAAGCCTAGGACCATAGCACATGACCACTTAAAATGGGCATGAGTGCCCAAGGACATAGTGAGGATCCTATCACATCCGGATTTACCCTCTAGACGTAACTGGCATCGTCGTCCTCTTTGAGGACTAAGACAAGCCTCTTAGTCTTACATCATTGCATTCATCAATTAAAAATACGGAAGAATATAAAACTTTTCAACTACTTCTAATATGAGGTTTACATAGACCTCTACATACACATAATCATAATAATATCGAGTATACATAGACCTGTTCATATAAGAATATTACACAGTCCTCTACTTTTATTTCACACACTTGTATAGTAAAGAAATAGAGTCGTAAATTTGTCTCATCTAATAAACCATCTAAACGAGAACAATAATATTCGTCATAGCCCTACATCAATAAAAATTAAGCCGCATATAGGCTTTATACAACTTTGTCTCAAATAGGAACTAGAGTCAATACAAAAGTTGTAGTAACTAAGTAACTTCACAAAGAGAATATTGGCATCGTCCTCGGGGAAAATGAGGACCTACCACTTGGATGATAGAATGTTCAAGTCTTCTTTCAAATCACCTCAAATCAAATTCAACCATTGGAACCTAAAATGCTTTGGAAAAAGGGAGAAAATGGGGTTAGTACGCCACATGTACTAAGTATGAGACCATATGTACAAGTACCAACAAAGTATGCTAAAAAGGCACATTTAATGAAATCATGTTATTTAAGCCAATCCTTTGAACATAATAAAAAAATTAATTATACCATATGCACGTCATCATACTTAAACCCATTATCTCATGTAACTCTATCATCACGTAATAATATCATAAACTTTAATAAGAGTAAACCACGTAAATAGAAAAGCAAACCAACTAACTATAATCCTTAAGAAGCCAAAAGTTCAATGACCCAGCAAAGCCCCATAACCCTACTTAATCAAGTAACCCACCAAAGATCATAATTAGAAATTCACTTCACATAGCATAGTCTTCCATCTCATATATTATTCTTTCTTTAACAATGATAACAAATTTCATATTCATATGCATATTATTCAACATATAAAGTTATTTACATCATATCGTTATTTATATACATAATATAGACTTCTTGAAACTTCTATCAAGGCAAACTAGTGCAAGGCATAGGTAGAGTCTCATACCCCTACCTAAGCTAAAGTCAAACCATTCAAGTAACTTCAATTAGTCTATACTTCATTCATTCATTTTAGTTTAGGGAACTCTTTCCTTAACTGACATAGACCACATGAGCTAATATGGATCCGGTATCATGAAGACTTACACCAATGGAAGGTGGTCTACCAGCCAAGGTAGAACCTAACATAAACGTAGCTATCTAGGTGAAACCACTAGATAGTATTCTATGGTGCCAATAGAGTTTATGGATCTTGGGGAATAAATCATGGAAATATCAACTCTACACCCTTCCTTGGGTCATGAGTCTATCCACCCCGTGAGGACCGTAGTTAACCCTACCTTTCTTATATAAGAAGACGTCACCCCCTCACATATAAGCCCAATCGGTGCTAAGCTAGGTCCCTTTATTGAAATGCCTTTAGTCTTGTTGTAATCATAACTTATTTTAGGTCATAAGGTCTAACCCTTGTATCATCATCATCATCAATAGCTCAAAAAGAATTGTATGTGTGTAAGTCCTTTCATCACAATCCATAGAAGTGAGGTTAGCTGTTTAGCATTTCATAACATATTAAGGCACACCGATAGTTTTCACCATCCTTATAGCACATACACCTTAATATACCTCACAACATAGTCAAGACATTTGAATTCAACATCTTACCACCCTATAATCTTAATAAAAGGCATACTCCAACGAAATATCATAGCTTAACAATAATTAATCACAATTGGAAGTAAAGATAGAGATTCTAAGACTTACCAAGTCTTCCTCATAGTCTATCATCAAGGTCTTACCATAAACCCGTAACCCAAACCAACTTAGGGAATAACATCATAGACCAATGATAATCAATAGAATAACAAGGTCAATCGCATCTTTATAACACAATTTTATCTTTAGATCGCAACTTGAGATAAGATACATAGGCTAATTTCACATTATAGTTCATAACCTAAATTAAATCTCAAGAACTAGAATAATAGTCCTATTATTCTTATTAATTTGACCGTAATATCACCATAGGATAGTAATCTAATCAACAACCAACTCAATTGAATGATCAATATACAACATAAGTCAAGATCACTACCTAGGGTTAAAGATAAAGGATTATGTTCTTTAATTTGACCAAACCATCAAAAATTATCATAAAAAAGTTGAGTTACATGTAAATATACTCAATATAACCCTAAAAATTTACTAACAACTCAATCCATAACTTCAATTTCCTATTTGAATGAAATCCAACAGAAAACTCAACTTTTTGAAATTCATTTTGAAGGAACCCTTTGAGGAAAGGAACTCAAAAGTGAATAGAACCCATACCTTAATGTATTCTCAACAATTTGATGAAGAATCCACCCTTTTCAGCCCCTAAACCCTAGTTCTTTCTAGCCTTCAATGGTGGGTTCTTTTAGAGAGAGAAATAAGAGAGAAGGAAGAGAGTTTATTTTGATAGTTGGATTTAGGTTAATGAGGGTTAAGGGTATTTATAGAGGGGCTTATTTAACTTAATTTGTTTCCCTTAACTAACTAACTAACCCCTAAATCATTTAATTAATTTAAATGAAATCATTAAAATCCATTAGTGAAATTCAACCTTCACCGACGAGACCCCGTCGACGGTCCGTCAGTGGGTTGATGGATACCCCCCCCCCCCCGTCTTGCACTTCCGTCGTATCTATCAGAGACTTTGCAGGTGAGGCTTTCTCTAATTCTTCTAAGTATGGGATGATGGTGGCCTCGACGCCTCGTCGAGCAAATGACACCCCGTCGATCCTTTCCATCTAGTGTAATAGTAGCTAGGCTAACAAGGTCCTTCACAAATATTTCTAAGTGTGGGACGATGGTGGTCTTCGATGCCCTGTCGAGCCACTTACGGACATCGATGCACACTACCAGGTAGTGCTGCATCACACTGCTGGGTTTCTCCTCCAGGGCCCTTGGTTGGTCCTTGGGGAGTCGTACCCCGACATTCCAATCATAAAACAACTCAAACACCCATTAGGTACCTTTCCACCCATTTCGTACATTTATGACTCCTAAAAGTTAGTAAAAAAGCTAAGGCACACAACATCTCTTTAAACCAACTTCGTGGACATTTTGTTCTGAAACCTTCTAAATGACCTATATTCATTAAAAATGGACGTATAAACAGTGTTCAGACTTTATGACACCTATATTAGGCTTTTCCATGAGTCTTGGATTTTCAAGGTGTTACAGATCCTTGGGACAATTAGTGAACATTCCAAATGAACCATCAAGAATAGTTAGTTAGGAAAGTACAAGCAACACATGTGCAAGACCATGTGCAAGCACATGGGGAGAAAAGTCTAAGGAGGGGACCACCCTAACCGAATTCGGTTAGGATAGTTATGGGGCAGGCGTGCACAAGGGTTCAACCATGTGGGTCCTTGATCTCTAATTAACTCTTGACTCTTACTAACTGACCTAACTAACTATCTAACCTAGGACAAACAAAAATAAATTATCTAGTACACCCGACAACCTAAGACTTAATTGGGTGACACTAACCTAGTATAACTCAAGAAATATCCTAGTACCTAACCTAGGATGATCCAAAAGGGTTAGTTATGGTCCCAAAGACTTAGGGGTACTTTAGTAATTATCTTAGGTCTCTTAAATAATTAAATTTAAAATTTAATTAATTAATTAAAATTACAAATTTTTGACGAGACCTAGCCAATTTCTAGATTTTGGGTTAAGTCAAATGTTTTCCTATTTATAGTCAATCTAGGAGGGGATTTTTAATAATTTATTTATTTATTTATTTAATTTACTTAATTATTCTAAGTTGATTGAGTCAAGATCAGTTCCTAAGACTTAGACTCACGTTTAAACACTAAAAATTTCACAATGCAAATCAGTAAACGAACGAAAGGAAAATAGAAAAACTTTTCTCGACTTTTCTTAGGCGATTTCAAGTTTTTTCTTCAAGGTTTCGTGCAAGGTGATGTTCGTAGATATAATTCTACATAAGGTATGTTTTTTTTCTCTTTGATTTTTTTTCCAACAATATTTTCCATCGTCTTGAATCTATGAAATTTCGAATTTGGGGTTGTTTCTCAATGTTTTTGTTGAACACTCTTTTTCCTAGTATCCTTGTTTCCGATTCCAATGAGCATATACATATAGTATCGATCATGTTGTTTCTATGTGGTGTTGGCTGATCTTAATGTGTGGTTTCTTGATTTTTAAATGTTTCATGAGTCTATAATTTATACTCATATGAATTCAAGTATTCCTTA